AAGATTTCAATTAATTTCAAGAGCTATAGTATGAATAGATATACAAATTTTAACATTGAACTACGCCCTTGTTTGGGGTCCATTGAAATCAAATTTTGAAGAAAAATATATTTTGAAGTAGTAATTTTTTTAAGAATGTGAGGTTAAAAATGAAAGAAAAGTTTTTGATTTACGTATAATATCATTTATTGAAGAATATGCAATTGGAAAGAAGATAGAAAATGCATTAAAATTTTAATGGAGTCCAAACAGGGATGTCTCCCAGCTTTGACATTTGTGTAAGTGGAAAGACAAATTAAGGGTAATTCTAGAGTGGAGTCTTCATCAAGGGTGCCATCTTTCACCCTATCTATTTCTTCTTCGTGCCGAAGCCCTCTCGGGTCTGATTCGCTTGGCAGAGATAGATGGACAACTGATGAGTATGCAATGCTCTAGAGGAGGTCCAAGGAAAAGTCATTGTAAATTATGGTTCTAAAACCCAATTTTTGAAAGTGAAAATACGTTTTTTACTTAGCCCCGTCCACTTGGCGTGATTTTATTGGTCTATTGACCATCACCAGGATCTGTCTTTCTTTGGAGCTTTCTTGGGCCATTGGATTTAATCAATGGCTAAGGCTTAATGCATATATTTCATTGGGGCTACTGTACCGTCACTTCATCTGCTTTTTCATACGGTTTCCATTCTCTCTCAATGAGGCAATTTTTCTTGTGATTCTTCGAGAGTTTAATTTCCATACTTGAGTTATATTAATCTTGGTTCTGTATTTGGAATCACTTACTGAGCCTGAAGTATTGTGTAATTTTAGGTAGTGTTCAGAGTTTTAGGTTTCATTTGGGTTTCATTTGGACTCCAAATGAAACCGGTTAAATATGCACTTATTTGGATGTGAGGTTTCTGATTCTTGTATATTGTAGGTTGACATTAGGAGGTCCGTGTGTGGATCAATGATCATGTGTAATGTTACGGTCTGAGTTTTGGTTGTACTGATTATTTCACTCTCTCTTAGAAGGTTCTTGCATTGTGATGGGCTCGTTATACCTCTGAGCCCCCCATATTAGGCTTTGGCGAACTGGGTGAACATTTCTGGTGTTATTTTCATTTCTGTAGTATGCATTTTATGGGTGTTTTTATTCTACATGCGTGTTATTTAGGTGAAATACCCCAACAGTCATCTATTCTTGGTTGATGAATCTAGTACTTTTATTTGAGCACGAGAATCAGATAGAAGAACCTTGTCAATTGTTTCGCATACTGGTATATGAAATGGCATCTGAACAAAAATATTAATCTAGAAAAGCTGGGGACCTCATTTAGCCTGAATGTTTATGCAACTATGAAAACCATTATTCTAACATGTTTGGCATTAATAATTTGGGTCTCCAACAGGGGCGGACCCAATACCCGACGAATGGGCGCGACCGCCCATGCTAGGACAGTCAGAGCCTTCAATATCGTCGGATGTCGCAGAGTCATTGGTGCTGTTGCCTGTGTTGCAGAGACAGAGAATAAGTGTCACGGGAAGAAGAAGAACATTATTTTGGATGTGCCCTTTTTTTTAGTTTAGGCCCATTTGTTTTGGGCTAGTATAGTTGGGCTATTAGTGATAAGCCACTTAATGTTTTGAGGTGTATGTATGGGTAATGAGTTGGTCAAAGATATGGACTTAACTGTTAGATTTTACTGTTTTAGGTACATTAGGGTTTGGATAATTGACCTGGGTTTATATGGTAGAATTATATAGGGCTTAGGATTTTAGGATTTGGAATTTATTGAACAGCACTAAAATCCAGCAGCAAACCCTTTTTACTTTTGCAACAAGTAGTTTATCAAGCAGCAAAAGTAGCAATTTATTTATTTATTTTTTATTTGAAACTAAAGACAACAACTACATAGTGAACTAAACTAACTATTTGTTTTTGGGTCATTTTTTTGTAAAACTAATCTAAACTACTAAAGCAGAGAAATGCTGTTGTTGTGGAGACGATTTTTCTTGCGTTTTATGCAGCTCAAAAGTTTTTGCATATGGTTTGAGAGTGTGTATATTTGGATGGGAAAGGCTAATTGGTTAAGGTTTGGATGGATAGAGGAAGGTTGTTCAACGTTTTCAAAACATAAGACTGGCAGTTGTCTAAGATCACAGTTACAGAGTAGGTTGTATCACGTGTTTCTTTAGTATTTTGGGTCGTATTGAATTAAATTTTCATATATATATATATATATATATATAATTTTTACGTTGTAGTACGTTTGCATATATATTGAATAATTTTAAATATTATTTAATTAAATATTAATAAACTACATCGTTCTTACGATCGCTGATTGTCGACGGTCAATAGTCAATGTCCGCCCGGACTAAACTTTTGTGTTGGGTCCACCACTGATCTCCAAGACACATATTTTGGACTTTCGTTGGGCTGAAATAAAAAATAAGATTGTAGTTCTACAAAAGGGAAGATCTTGAAATGTGCTAAAGGGTAGCGTCGAGGACCCTTCTTAGTGAATAGGACACATAAGCTATGGTAGTCCACGACGTAATGATATTTAAAGGAGACCAAGGCCTCTCCATATCAATACTAGAATGTGATTCACTACGGGTCATACAAAGCTTAAGCAAAAAAATTTTTTTTACTTAGGAAAAAAAAATTTTATGTAAAAAAAAAAAAAAATTCATGTGTAATTTTTTTTTTTACGTATTAGCCCCCCCTATAGTCCGATCCTGAATCCGTCCGTGATCTTGACTGATATTATCTATTTATTAAAGACTGTCAACTGTAGATCTTGCAACTTTGTTTCTCGCAAAGGAAAAGAAAGTTGCACATGAAGTTGCCTCTTATGTTCATTTAGCTTAAGGTACTAGTAATTTAGATGACTCAACTTTTTGTTTCAACCGTAGTTTACGACACGTAGGTTTTTCAAGAAATACAACACGTAATAACCAGAAATACAAAAATGTTCATAAACAAGATCAATTGCCACATAGGTTTTTCAAGAAATTAAACCTACTTCACAATTAATTCTTAATGATGGATCTTAATTGATTGATCTCCAAGCTTTCAATCTTTAGATCTCCTCGGATAATTTGTTCTTATTGATCTACGAGCTTCTAACATTTAGATATTCTCCGGTATTCTCTAAGTCCATGTTGCACTTTATGGGCACCAAGAATCAAGATGGAGAATCATCCAAATCTCAACTCTCAAGAATTCACAATATTTGCTATGATTATATGGAAGACTAGTATTGTTATACATTAATTCATAACCCGATACATCTATATATATATTAAGGTTCTAAAAGGTGTAATGACGCTGGCAGAATAGTGATTATTCTACAAACTAGTTCTACCAGCAAATTCACATGGAACAACACAATATTATCTTTGAAAATACAGAGAAAACGTCTATGAAATTTAAAAAATTTTATTATATCACGCAATGATTCAAAATAAGTCCACAAGCTGGACTTTATAGCAAAATTCGAATTTTATCAAAAATGGCAAAATTTCGAAATTCACGCCAACGAGAATACGGAATAAAATAAGTGTTCTGCAAAAAATCTCGCCCAAATCAGGTTAAAAATCATCTCTAACATGCATTCGAAATATTACCAAAAATAGTAAAATTTAACTAAAAATAGCAATTCGGAAGGGAAAATAGCGGAATTTGAGGTTGAAAACGGCACACTTCGAGCAAAGCTGGGTATCCATGACGTGTGCGTCGAAACGAGCTTTCCGGATTGTGGTCATAATCGCGATCTTGATAACCGTAGCCAAAGTTATGGCAAAATTACTGACACACGACTCAATTACCAAAGTTACACGATCACTTGCTATCCTTGTGACGATCTGCCAACTCGTGGTATTTTAGAGCTATTAACGTGTAATCTAACAATTCAGCATCTGACTCGGACCCTCCTGCATCACGTAAGTTGTGACAATGTCAAGCCTCACGAGTTTTGATGAATCCTGAATTTTGATCTATCAAAATCAAGTTGGCTTATGGCCAATGTGTTGACTTTGGTCAACATTTGACTCGGTCAACTGTAAAATGCATGGGCTTTATTAATTTGTTTAATTGAGTTACATTCTTTATTTGAAGCAATCAAAGGAACATAATCGGATATATAATATAATTCAAGTTTTGATATTTGGGTCCAATCTCTCGGACCCGGATTGTCCAGTCCAATTATCATATGGACTTACTTCACTAAAGGCACATTATTTCACCCAATGCATAAGCAACACCGTTTTTATGTCAGATGAGAATTCCTAGACACTTTGTTCAATAGGGTGGCATAGTTGGGGGATTGAAATAATATTCCTTTTGTGATTTTATATAGTTTGAGATTACAATCATGGACCATTAGTGGAGTAAGCCCAGACAAATAATTTGGTCCAACATTTTAAGTCGAAGAAATTGAATCCAATTATCGGAGCTCGAATTAAAGTTCAATGGTTGCACAATTGACATGGTACAATGTTGATCGAAGTCAACCCATTGTAATAAAATAGTAAAGTTCAGTTCATGAACATTTTTGGCAGAGGACCAATTTTTAACATTAATAAGTACAAAATCGTTGATTTTCCAAGTCAAAAAGTTTGAAAAGTATAGTCTAGCTTTCACATTAAAAGCTGGTATATATAAAACTAATTATTCCTATTGACACCCTTTCCACGCAAATTCATAGCAACCAAATTATTATAATATATATGGCGCCTATATATATTGTGCCCTTTGGGTTCATCATTCTTCATTTTTATTAAAAAAAAGACACTAAACTAATGACTTCTCGAAAATGGCTTTTTCCTTTCATTTTTCTATGCATAACAAACCTTGTTTTTCTTGTCAAATCCCAGTTCCCAACTCCAATTTTTTCCTTTTCTAATTGTCTAAACGCTGGAAATTACACGAGTAATAGCGTGTACAAGGCAAACCTTGACACCCTCCTCTCTTCCGTCTCTTCTAATATTGATACCGATGGATTTTACAATGCCTCAATGGGAGAGAATTTAGATAGAGTCAATATCATTGCACTCTGTCGAGCAGATCTTCAGCCTTATCAATGTCGTGAGTATGTCGCCGATGCAACCATCGAAGTTTTAAACAGATGTCCGTATCAGAAACAAGCAGTTTTCTGGCACGAATTTTGCATGGTATTGTTAACCTCCTTGTCTAAAAGTTAATAGAGAGATTAGACATTTATTTGACTTTGTTTTGATTTCATTTTCTTCTCCTAAAATTTACTTTTTAATGTCAAATATTAATTTTTACCATAAATTTCATAGAACCACAACCTAAAGTATTATCCATTTATAAACCACTCATTTCTTGAAAAGTACAAAAATTTTAGCAAAATAAAATAAAACCCGAACGGAGGCTTAGTTATAGGTTGTCTATAATGCAGCTCCATAAACGGGTGAGATTTTTCATAAACAGGTCATCGTAAGATTTGAACCTAGATTTTCTTTTTCCTCTTTTTGCCGAGCTCTAATTCAATGTTAATAACTCTACACAAAAAGTTAAACTTTTGCGACGCACTCATTGATTTAAATGTTTCTACGGTATCCCTGTCCTGTGCATGCCTGAATTATTTATATCTCAAAGGCCTAAAATGTGACAAATTTTTTATTGGCTTTCTCGGATGCAATGTTTACCATTTCATCTAAAGTTTAAACTATTAGAGACGAGTGTCAAAATACTGTCATCAACAGGTGCGATATTCCAATGACACTATATTAGGGACTGTTGCAATATTACCATACCGGGCGGCTATTAGTACAAATACTGTACAGGATTCAGGAACGTTTTACAGGGAGCTGAACATATTGTTGGATAGTCTTCGTAACCAGACTGTTTTTAATAGCTCAACACAGAAATTTGCTGCTGCTGCTAGTCGGCCTGACCCAAACTTTGAAAGAATTTATGCATTTGAGCAGTGCACACCTGATATAACACCAGAAGATTGTGCTGCTTGTTTATATCAATCTGCACAAATTATTCCACAGTGTTGTGGTGGAAAAAGAGGAGCTAGAATACTTAGGCCTAGTTGCTATCTTCGTTTCGAAACTAATCCCTTCTATAATGATACTATGGTTAGAACGCTCCAGCTGGAACCAACACAACCAATACTAGAGCCACCGGCAACAGGTAAGGATGTCGTCACTAAAACATTATAACTAAATTACAAACTTAATAATAGTGTTATTTATATGGTTTATTTTAAATTTTGTAGGAAAGGAAGATAATGACAATACTACTCGAACTGTCATTATTGTCGTCATTCCAACTGTTGCATGTCTAATTCTTGCTCTTTGCATTGGCATCTTCCTAAGAATGAGACGAAAGCATAAGCCAAGCGGAGAACTTGAAAGTAAGCTTAGTTTTCTACTGCTATCTACATCAACCTCTATTTAAGTTAACGTTTAACTGCAATTTGCCTGACACATTTCTTTATACCTGATCAAGCTGACAATGAGATTAGCACTGAACTTAGGGACGTTATACTGAAACCTACAATAAGAACCGCAACAGATGATTTCTCTGATGCTAATAAGTTGGGGCAAGGTGGATTTGGTGTTGTTTACAAGGTAAATTTTGAATGGACTGTGACAGGAACATGCTTATCTAGAGTAATATATCTATTGACTAGGAGTATATTGAGTTAAATTTCACTTTTTGGTGATTTATTCTCAGGGAAAACTTCCGAATGGAAATGAAATAGCAGTGAAAAGGTTGTCCCGAGGTTCTGTGCAAGGTGACTTGGAATTTAAAAATGAGGTCTTCTTAGTAGCCAGGCTTAAACATAGAAGTCTAGTTAGGCTATTGGGATTCTCACTAGAGGGAAGCGAGAGGCTTCTTGTATATGAACGGGTTAAGAATGGGAGCCTTGACCACTTCATATTTGGTAATATTTTGCTGTTTTAAGTAAATCACATTTTTTCATGGCAACCTGGTTGGAACATATGTAATGGCAATTGATTTGGATAATAAATTATCCACATTAATTTAATTTCTCACAATATCATGTGCTTAATTGGACTTGTAGATTCAATCAAGCGTTCGTATTTGGACTGGGATAAGCGCTTCAATATCATAAAGGGGGTTGCTAGGGGACTTCTTTATTTGCATGAAGAATCTCAACTTAAAATCATTCATCGTGATCTCAAAGCTAGCAATGTTCTGATAGATGAAGAAATGAAACCCAAAATTTCAGATTTTGGTATGGCAAGATTACTCGTCCAAGACGAAACTCACGGCAATACTGGCAGGATTGTGGGAACCTAGTGAGTATTTTAATTTAAGACATTACATAGTCACAAAGTATTTTTTTTTTTTTTTTGTATTTCTTTACGAGTGAATGTTAAGCATGAAAATCAATAATGAAATGATGCAAACTGGTAATTACAGTGGATATATGGCACCAGAGTACATATTCAATGGACAATTCTCAATTAAATCCGACGTCTTTAGCTTTGGTGTGCTAGTTCTAGAAATCGTAACTGGTCAGAGAATCAATACTTATCAAAATGGGGATGGTGAAGAGAACCTCTTTAATCTTGTAAGTATAAATATGAGAAATCAAAATTATGTATGCATTGTTTGTCAATTTGAAGTACTAATGATAACTCTAAACACATCAAATTCCCACAGGCTTGGAGAAATTGGAACCATGGAACAATTGAAAATATGATGGATCCTGCATTGAGAGCTTCAGGTTCCTTGCTTGACATTGTGAGATGCATTCATATCGGTTTGCTATGTGTTCAAGAAAATGCAGCTCATAGACCAACAATGGGATCAATAGTTCTCATGTTCACTAGCTTCTCTATTACTTTGCCAGCACCTTCAAAACCTGCATTTTTTGGGTCTAGTTTCACGAATCCTGAAATTTTAAATAGCCAAGAGTGCAATTCAAGAGCATCATTGCATATCAGCCAACCCACAGAAGGTAAACCAGGTTATTCTGCTCCATCAATAAACGATGTCTCAATCACTGAATTATATCCACGGTGAACTCCAAAAAATCTTCATATGAAGACATTGATTAATTTTTTTCTTATTATTTAAATAATTTGGGATGTATTTCTTATTTATGTCCTTTTAAGCATGCAATGCGTATGTAATTTATCTTGTAAGCACAATTGTTATGTTCATGTCAATGTTATATTTTCCCTTGTAAATCGAATTTGTTATTATTACTTGATATTTTTGAGTCCAGACAAATGGAAATCGGGCTATTGGGCTACCTATGTATAAACTCGAAAGTTTGAGGATTAATTTGTATATGTCGAAGGTTGTTAACCTACTTTCTCTATTGCTATAGATGGAGGCCTCAACTATAATTTTCCTATATTACGGGAAACTAAGGTATATAACACTAAAAATGAAACAAAAGGGTTACTCAAAACATTTTAAAGACCTAACCTAAGTGAAAATGAAAAATAGCCTTATACAATATTTTTACGAAGGATAATACTATTTGCACTACAATTTTTTTAAATTACAAAAAAGAGAAATTAATAAATCTCAATCAATGTCCCTGACGTTTATTCATTTTTGCACTTATGTCCCTCAATATTTTCATCACATTTTTATCCTTAACCTTTTATTAATTTGTACATACTGTTTCTGATAACAATTTTCTTCTAAAATACTCAATAGGAGTGCATAAAAACAGTCATTTGCCTCTCGTATTATTAAATAAGCAAAATAAAATCAAATACCAAAGTTTGACAATATAATTATCTCTCATTTCAATGGACACTAGCAAAATATTTGGACGGAAAAAGTTAATAGAGATATTGTGTGCTAATTATTTGACAGCTAATGACAAAAATGTGATTAAAAAAAGTTGAGAATATAAATAAAAAATGAACCAGAGACGAGGGCCTCCATTGCAATTAAAATGTGATGTGGATAATAAAAATCATGGTCCTTAATTTGCTTCGTTTATTAACTTCTCATTTTATAGATTATGCATCTTTTCTCAAAGAATGGGTAAAAATGTAAGGTGGTTTTTGTTGTTCAAAGATTCTTGCTCTTAGGTGTTGAGTTTTTTCATGAAGTTATTTGCTCAAGTGTTGGGTTGTTATTGCTTTTGAAATAATATGCCACATTTTCTTCTAAATATTGAGAGCATCTTCAATACAACAATATGAATTATTGTACAATGTGGCAAGCAAAACGGAGGATGGAGAGTTGGGACTATAGACTGCATTAATTGTGGGCTACATGTACAAGAGATAATGTAGAGAAAGGGTTTAGATAAATTATAAAAAATTAAAGGGTTGTGCTACTTGTACATTATGGCATCCATAATGGATGACATAATGTACAAGTAGAATTACCCAAAATTAAATAGAGGATACATAGCACACCTTCCAATGGAGACAAATTATAGAAAACAAAATGGATGGTAATGTGGTATACTTATTGATGGAAATCACGATCTCATGGAAGACGTTCTTACTACCTCAGCCATCTTGTAGAGTTGAACATGCCTTATGAGAAAATTCAACATTTGGCTGACAAGGGAGACATTTTAACCCAATAAATAAATAAACAAACTCATTTTTCACTTTCACCATTAAAATAGAGCATTTTAAAAAATTTCGCCCAAAAAATATAGGAAAGATTGCAGCCACGATCCTCTAGTTTTACCCCTTTTGTACTTCTGACCCTCACATTTATTTCTTTGTAATATTGTCCTAAACTTCTTATTTATGTTTTCACTGGTGAATCTAACAATGGTTTTTGTCTCAAAAGGACTTTTATAGGTTGTGAGGCTGATCAGAATAGGTCAATGATAAAAAAAAAATGTCATGGCTAAAATGAGAAATCGAACAACCAATTCAATGTTTATATAGTACATGTTTGATTTTCAAAAACAAAGTTCATGTCAACAATAAATTTGACCACGGTCACAACATCACACATGGCGGCATTTCGTATACTCAACTTGTAATTCACATTTAACGCTCCTCTTTTAACCTTCCACACATTTCAAAATCTTGTATGGCCACAAGCATGTCCAGACCTACAAACACCGACCTCACATGTCTTGATGATACACAAACGTATTGCTATCCATCATTCTCCTATGAAATCTCTTTCCCACAACAATCCATTCAATTTTCTTGTTTATTCTTCCTTTCATATTCTCCTTGGTTTTCTTCTATGAGAGGAATTATAGATTGTGGATCACACAACACGGTGTATGTGTTGATCTTCTATCCTCTCTCTAGCCATGGCACTATCATTACTGTTCATCCTTTTGCTTACATCCCTCTCTTCCATCTCCCTCTCGAATCAACCCTATCATTGGTTTATTATGCAAAATCATGTCCCCATTTTCAAGATATTGTAACATAGATTGTCCATGACAAACAAACCCAATTCCCCACCACGGCAGCTACCACCCTCCGTGTCTTCTTCCACGACTACGTCGTTGATGGCTACGATGCTTCCGTTCTTGTCAAATCCTTTGCATCGAACACGGCCGAGAGGGACGCCGACGTCAACCATTCTCTAGCGGTGATGCATTCGACGTTGTTTCCCGCATCAAAACTGCCCTAGAACTTTCATGCCTTGGTATCGACTCTTGCGTCGACATCCTCGCTTTGGCAACCCGAAACCTTATCACCATGACCGACGGCCCACATTATATAGTCTGACTGGGACGCAAAGATGGGCTTGTTTCACAGGCTTTCTGAGTCGAGGGAAACCTAGTTAGAGCTAACCAAACTATAGACCAAATGATAGCCACATTCGCATCCAAGAACTTCAAGGTCCAAGAAATGGTCGTGTTAACTGGGACGGTCATACCATTGGATTCAGCCACTGCAGTGATTTTAGTAACAGACTATTCGGCAAAAAAGTTGATCCATATCTCAATCCTAAACTCACTGAGGCCTTGAAAAATCTTTGAGCAAATTACACCTCCAATCCGACCATGTTGGCTTTTCTCGACGTGATGTCTCCAGGAGTTTTCGACAACTAATTTTTATATTCCTTCTATGTCCAGGAGAGTGATTGATTCGAGATCCTCTCTTCTATATCTTCTTGTCCTTTTTATACTCCTTTGCAGGTTTTCTCTTGTAAAACTGCTTGGAAACTGTTTGGTGCTTTATAACTACACACTTTCTTCGTGATGGCTGACTTGTCAAGGAACAGTCATTCGCAACTGTTGTTATTGCTCTTTGTTGTATAACCGCTTGTAACCGAGATTCTTAGATCGTGAGGTGTGATATGGTTGCTCCATAACCGCTTCGATAATCGTCGTTTAAAGTAATCACAAGACATTGTACTCGCTCAAATCTTGAGCGACCCAAAAGCTTGGGTGAGACTGGGATCATCGCTCTAGGTGACAGTAAGACACTCTTTCACTCAGGTCCTTGGCATCTTGCAGGCTTAGGTGATGATAGTACTTTATTTATGGGCCTCCAATATATTTTACAATGGTCTCATTTGGGCTTATATCTTGAACTTATGGGCCTCCAATATATTCTACAATGGTCTCATTTGGGCCTATATCTTGAACTTCCTAACTGGGCACCAATTCTTGGACCATTTAATTGGGTCTCATTTTTGTATGTCAACAATTACCCCTCAATATGGCATAATTAATATCGATTATTAATTTTTGTCATATTCTTCCTTCGTATTTTTCGGCAATACTTGAAATTCCCCAAAAGGACACAGATAATTTCAATCATTATTCCCGTTTAGCGGTAACCCTTCTACAATCTGAAAAGTGTAACGTTACACCCTATAACCCAAAAGACACGCTACTTTGTCACTTCACTTCATTCACGTCTTTACATCGTGCTTCTCTATAAAGGTCACTGTTCATCATTTTGGTTCTTTGCTACGTTTCTCAAGAACTCTCCACAACTATTGCATTTCATTGCACATGGCGAATTCACAACCTTCTTCCGATAACTCCCTCAGTTTCGAGGATTTCCAAAACCTCCTTACCAGACCATATGTAAATCCAAACTTTCCTTCGCAAGCCCGCCCTGACCATGATGAGTTCTATCTGGGTCCGTCGTTTAATGATGTTGAATCTATCGGGCAAATGGTGGTGTGTCAGCTGTTCCCTTATACGGAAAACTCTCATTTTCTGAACTCCTTGCCATTGAAGCCAATCCTTGAGAAAGGTATTCGCACTTGACCTAAAATTGATGCTAGTTTTCGTAGATGGCACGCATGGTAAATCATGGTCCCACCAAAGCAATTTTTTATCGCGTTAAAATTTAGGACTCATTAGAAATTACTCATCATCCCCCAATTTATGACCCAGTGCTTTTCCCTATTGGCTATTGCTGTGAGTTTTTGATCTTCTGAGTACAATGCTTTCTTTTTTTCCCCTGGCCCAATGTCTATTACCCCGAGGGATGTTGGAGCTCTAGTAAACCTTCCACCTTTAGGCAACACCATTTTTCCTGACATTTTGATTGTCGGTGTTGCCCCAAAGTTTGACAAAAACTCACTGAGTCCTATTCAGGCATGCAAGGCCTTTATATTTCTTATAGTTCTGAGCCCTCTCACGTTGAGCGTGTGGCCTTTCTTCAAGTCTGACTTTGTAAATATGTTCTTTGCGTCCCCAGCCTGAAACCTTTCATGAGTTATCTGCCCATAGAGCATGAGTTGGCGCGTGGTAGGTCTTTGAATTTATGTTCATTCTTTTTAGCTGCCTTTTATAAAGGCATGGCTTCCCTTCAATTTCAATTAAAGAATGGTGGTTGAGAGCATATTTTCCATAGTTTGGTACTCCACCATCCTCTCCTCGATCGGTCAATTGTTATGGGCTATTCATCCATCAATTGAGCCTGTAAATATGTCTAATAGGGACGTTTTCACCTTCTTTTATAATTTGAATTCAATACCTTCCTTTTTTTCCTTTTTCTCTTCACCAAGTCCCTATTTATGTGCGACCTTCTTTCGCTCTGGCTGAAGTGACACTTTCTTGCCCATTTAGGCACAATTCTTGATTGGGAGAGAATTGTTCCATG